TGTGATCTTTTATGCATGTTTTATTTAAACACCAACTTAAGTAGATGGAGGCGCCAAATATTCCAAATCCCTTTTCTGCAAGCATCACTGCCTTCTTTCCAGGAACTACTTGGAACACGAATGTTATAGACAACTCGGTTACTTTTAGAGGGATAGGATTTTCAATAATAACATTTGTATCTGATATGGGAAATCCCATTATGTTAGATGGGCCAATAGTAGTTACTTTTTTTATGCCTCCTACTTTTTTTCAAAACCCCTTAATCAGTTTGTTTCCACCGCCAATGTAGATACTTGTAAAATTGTAGAAAAAGAAAATAGAAGGAATCAAAGATAAAATTCCTTCTTCTTTTGTATATCTTATATAGTGATGTAAATTACTTTTACATATATGTAATATTTTTGACCTCCTACTCTTACACAAATAATAATAATAATGATTAATAAAGAAAAAAAAATGTCACATCATGTATTGCTCAATATGGTACATCCATCGTAAGAAAACTAGACCACAGATTCTAACTTCCCTGGCTAGATGAACAATCAAGTGAACCATAATATCAAAAAATGATGGAGGAAAGTACATCTCAAATTGACATAATATGACTGCAGCCTCATTCTCTAACTGATCCAAAACATCCGGGTCCATAACTTTACTACATATGGCATTAAAGAAAAAGCATAATCGAGTTAAGGAATATCTAACATTCTCTGGTAAGATACCTCGAATAGCCACAAGTAGAAGTTGTTGCATCAATACATGACAATCATGAGATTTTAACCCAAGCAATTTTAGATCTTTCATAGATACAAGTCTCTTCACATTGGAAGAGTAACCAAATGGAACTTTCACACCTCGTAAAAACTCACAAAAACTTCTTTTCTCTTTTTTAGACAGTGTGTGACATGCTGGAGGCAAGTATGTTTGGTTACCATGAGGTTGAGGAGCTAATTGTTCTCTTATACCCATTTCAACCATGTCCAAACGAGCATTGACACCATCTTTTGTTTTTCCTTGAATGTTAAGGAGCGTTCCGATGATACTGTCACACACATTTTTCTCTACATGCATGACATTTATACAATGCCTCACATCAAGAACCCTCCAATATGGAAGAACAAAAAGGATTGACATTTTCTTCCATATACCTGTGGCTTTCTTTTGCGTCTTTCCAAACTCACACGAAATCGCACTTGCTCGTTGATATACTTCTTCCCCACTTAAAGGTGTTGGGGCTGCATCATTTTCTTGACACCCGTTAAATGATTTTTTTAATTTACGATATGAATGGTTTGAAGGAAGAAATCTTCGGTGTCTAAGGTACACTGTTTTCCTTCCATATTGTAGTTGATAGTGACATGTGTCTTCTTCACATATCGCGCAAGCTTTATGTCCCTTTGTGCTATAACCACTCAAATTACCATATGCTGGAAAGTCATTAATTATACAAAATAACATTACATGCAACTTGAATAAGTCACCTGTGTACCCATCAAACACATCAACACCTTCCTCCCACAACATCTTCAACTCTTCAACCAATGGGCTTAAAAAAACATCAATGTCATTTCCAGGTTGTCTAGGACCCGAGATCATCAAAGATAGCATCAAGTACTTACGTTTCATACATAACCACAGAGGTAAGTTGTAAATAACTAACACCACAGGCCATGCACTATGTTTACTACTTAAATTTCCATATGGATTCATTCCATCTGTAGCAAGTCCAAACCTAATGTTTCTTGGATCATTACCAAAATTCTGGAAGATGAAATCAATTTTTTTCCATTGCAATCCATCTGCCGGATGCCTCAACTGACCATCTTTAATACAACTATCTGCATGTCATCTAGTGAGCTTTGCATCATTTCCATTAGTGAATAATCGTTTCAACCTTGGAACAATGGGAAGATACCATAACACTTTTGCCGGGGTACCCTTCATTACATCATTGTCAGAATCACCATCCTTCTTCTTGTATCGTGATTCCCTGCATTGTGGACATTCGTGAAAGTTCTCAAATTCTTTCCTGTACAACACACAATCATTCGGACATGCATGAATTTTTTGGTACTCCATACCCATTGGACACAATATCTTCTTAGCATCATAATTGCGGGTTGGCAATGTGTTACCTTCAGGGAGCATGTCACTCAACAACTCAAGCAATTCTGTGAAACTTTTATCAGTCCACCCATTCTTTACCTTCACATTGAACAATTTTAGTACCGCCGACAATCGTGTGAACTTAGTACAATTTGTATACAAAGGATTTTTTGCATCATTGGACAACTTCTCGTACACATGTGTATGTTGGAAGGCATCTTGTCCAAGCTCACGAATCATTTCCTCCAGCTGATCATCCATCTCTAGATCAACTTCTTCTTTGTCTTCTACACTTGGCATGTTTAATAATTCACCATGCCATGTCCACTTTATGTAACTCTTTAGGAAACCATCACAAAGAACATGTTCCCGAATAACTTCAGTCGGTAATCTTCGCTCATTCAAGCAGTTAACACAAGGGCAATAGAATCTTCCATCATTATCCGGAACATTCATCTTAGCAAATTCAAGGAATTGTTCTACTTCACTCTCATATTCATTTGTTGTTCGTCTATAATTGATCCAACTCCGATCCATTGTTACCTTCTGTCACATAACACAACATATAAGTATAGTTTGAGGATGATAACATCCAACATGTTCTGCTGAAATTGCGATGTCACGTGATTGGATATTTTAATCTTTCAATAGGAAGTTCTGTCCTACAATGGATCATTTCATGACTGACTCCAATCAAGGCTAACCGTATTGTCTCACATTAGGGTGAGCATAAGCGATGATAGTTTTCGCTTAAAATGAAATAACTACATTATAATACAAATCTAATTTTCAAAATCAAAATCACGAAAGAATGCCTACAGAAACACATTCAAATGACTAAACTACTTACAATACGTCTCTAAATTAGCTAAAGGCACTCGTGAACTTCCATCTCTTGACAGCATTATTACATACCAGATTCAAAGGTGGCAGGTGGCGTGACGTGCAGAGCTGGGTGAGGAGAAACGTACACAGGCGACGGGCACCAACGACAGTAGCAGCAGGCGGCACGACGTACAGAGTTGGCAGGTGGCGTGACGAGCAGAGCTGGGTGGGGAGAAACGTACAAAGGCGAAGACGTTCGTAGAAGATACAGAGAGAACGGGGAGCTCTGCTATGGGTGAAGTGAGAAATGGAGTGTCGCGGCAGGTGTAAAACAGAGGATATTATGTTGGTTGCTCTCACACCCGTCATCAAATACACTTTCTATGTCGGTTAAGTTTTACCCGACATAGAAAGTGAACTTTCCACTTACTATGTCGGTTAAAATTTACCCGACATAGAAAGTTTATGATTTTATTACAAAATTGCCACCGCGCTACATACTATGACGGGTTGACTACGACCGTAATAAAAACTCGTCATAAAATGTTATTTTTCCACTAGTGTTACTTGTATTTGATAGGACAAGAGAGGGAGTTACTTCCATGGATTATATTGATTGATTTATATAAAAATACATTTAAAATTTAATGAGTCTCAATTAGCAAAATTCTGATTTAATGAGTCTTTCATATTTGATTGAAAAGTTCTTTTACTTCCTCCACTTTTCTATTTTGTCCTTGCCAGGAGGGTCATTCAAATATTATAGTTTAAGGTATTATTTTTCACATTAAAAAATACCTATAAACACACTATCATAAAAACACATGATAATCACTTAAATTATCTAATTATAAATTTTCAATAAGATTGTTTTTTTTTAAGACTGTTACTTCATACACATATATCCTGTAAAAAAATATATTTATATTAATATAATAAGTTTTTTACATTAGAAAAATTAACTAAAAAACAAGAAATTTTAAGACCCTCAATACTTACATCCTCCCTTTTTTACAGGTAAATTAGTTACAAAACAATTTTCAAAACTCAATTAAAATAGATAATTTTTTTGGTAAATATTTTAAAACCTTAACTCCATATCCAAAACTTATTTACAATTAAATACGGTAAAATAATACTTTGAGAACAAAATAATATTTTTATTTTGAATCATACAAATGCAATCTTTTATGTTTTTTTATCATGATATTTGTATGAATTGATTTTAATATATTTTATTTAATACTCAAAATAATATGACAAAATTTTAAATGATGGATTACAAGATTTAGCAACAAATTTCTATTATTTGTTGTACCAACCAATTTGTTAATACAATCTTTTATATGTGAATTAATCATTTATGCTTTCATTATATATATATATATATATATATATATAATACTAATTAAGTAATGGTAAATAATCCCAATAAAAGCTATTAGAGGAATGACTCATGAAAAGTAAATAAACAGAAAACAGAAAATGAATCAAGTCTTGTAACTAGTTCTGGGCCAATCAAACCAAACTCGAGTGAAATTTATTGTTGGAGCTTAAATTTTGAGATTCAATAGAATTGGGCTCTGACGCAAGGTTTATTGATAGGAAAAAAATTAAGGCCCATCAACTCATCCTGAAACAATTTTTTTTTAATTCGATTATATAAATATATGAATGTCTAAAAAAAATTGAATAATTTTGGCAAGAATAAAATTCATTTTTTTATTTGATAAATTTTAAAATTGTTTAAATTTCACTATCATAAATTAAAAATTGTTAAAAAACATTTCACTAATGTGTTCTAAGAATCACAGTTAGAGATGACATAAGTATCCAAATTTTGCACTTTTGATCACTAATATTTCCTTCTATAAAGAAACATGATATTAGCCTTTCTTGCTAAGTCGAACTATGATAACATACAATCAGTGATTCTATTTGTAAGAAAATGAATGATCAGAACACAGAAAATCCATTATTGTTACATATATCTTTTCAAAGACCCCACACCACACTGCAACAAACTTATTTTGGATTTGTATAAATTTCTATTTGTGTTGAAAGAAATTCATCTTATGAATGTCAAACCAATAGCAGTGATTATAAGGGTGGAAGGAAGACCAAATTTGAGGTGGTTCCAGAAAGTTAAAGTGTATGCAATGTTAGGAGCACGACGAGCTTGTTCACACACTATCAAGTTTGCAGCTGAACCCAACAGTGACATGTTCCCTGCAACAGTGCTGGCCCAAGCCAATATAAGCCATGCTTTCTTCTCATCATCTTTGGAAATTGCAGCAGCTGAGGCTGCAACTGGTCCTCCAAGCAATAGAACTAGAAAACATGAACACAAGATTCGCAAAGGATGCATCAGAGATCAAACTGACAATATCAGTTTAAAAATAATTTTCATACAAAGATAAAAACTTCAACTTTCACTATAAATCATTCTAAAAAGTACATGGATTTAACTACTCTTTTAAGCTTTTGAAGTTTTTCAAAAGTAAAATCAAAGTAATTCCAATTTACATATATACCCCATAAACTGTATCTCGTTTATGTAGTTATGATTCTAATTACATTATCTGCTACGAATGTTCTCCTTTATATTTATGAATCAAATTATTATTTTAATAAAAATCTCATATATATATAACATACCTATTAGGGACATACTGAATTTATAAAATATATCTTAAAGGGTAGCTTGTTCTTACAAATGAACTACTTTGTTTCACTTGATTATCTCAAAACAAGATTTTTCATAATTTGCATATTGACAAGGTTTATTTATGTAACCCTTGACTTTGGAAAGCCTTAATGGAGCATTGAAGGCAATTAATGGTTTTTGCTAACAAGTCAGACATTTAAGTTTCCAATATTTCTTGGGTTGCAATTGTCAAAAGGAGCATTTTAATATGTTGATTCATTTAATATGAATAACAATCATGTGAGACATGGAACAAAAAGCTAGAAGAGAATATAACTGAAAAAGTAAAAAGTGAACTTGTGATGACAAAAATTTGGCAGCATAATCACCACATACCGGTTGGTACATTTGATGCCACATTTGATAAGATGAGTATAACTAGAGCAAGAACTGCTACTCCACTAGCACGATCTACTCGAGAATAAGGCTCCATGACACTCCAAAGAGCACCTGGAATTCCAGTTTTATTGAAACCATCTACTGTGATGAACATTCCACAAAAGAATATCAAGAGTGAATATGAAACCTGTGCCAAGAACAAAAATTATTTTAAAGATTTTGCACCATAAAAACACTGTCTACTTGCTAATGTTTCAACAGAGAAAGATAAAAACCGATCTTAAACAAGAGGTTGTTTGTAAGTGTTACCTTCTCTAAGGATGGCCTGGCATCTTGGAAATCAAGAACTACCAATGCTAGTGCAGCTGAAATAGCAGCCCATGACATATTCAAACCAAGAAGCATACCAATCAACATTCCTAATGTGATCATGTAAACACATGATTTCCACAGGATATATTTCCATTTTTTATTAGAACTCTCCTTTACTTCCAAAGTGTTCAGAGCATTTGATTCAATTGGTTTAACTACTATTGCATCAGTTTTTGAAGGACCAGTTTCCTCCTTTGTCTGAGAAGCCATACCATTTGTCTCCTCCTTTGATGCATTTGAGTTTCTTGAGGAGTCTAATGTGTTACTGAGAGCCCTGTCGATTTCACCATCACTCGCCATTGATCGATTTCTTAGACTCTGAACTTGAGGGGAATTTGGAATATTAAAATTTTCCATGCGCACATTCCATTCTTGAGAGTTAAGTGAGTTAAAATGAGACATTGTGGCTGGAGAAAACTGATGGGAATTAACCTCTTCCTCTGCTGCATAATTTGCTACTGGATTCTCTTCATCCTTCTCAATAGACAATACCCTCCAATACATAGCCATAAGAATTAAAGCATTCACTAAAACCCCTACAAGCATAGCTGGAAGAACACCAATTAGAAACTGCCCAAATGATATTTTACCCTGAACAGCTATAACAAGATTTTGGGGGTTGCCAATTGGAGTTGCTGCAGACCCAATATTAGCACTTGTGGCAAGTGCAAGAAGTAGAGGATGAGGTGGGAGGTTATGTTGCTTAGCTATTTTCAATATGAATTCTGTTAGAACGACACAAGCAGTATCATTTGTGAAAAGAGCACTTGAGACAGCAGAAATCACACAGATTCTACAAAGTAAGTCCTTTGCTCCTCTACTTTTCCAAGAGAGCAATTTTCCTATGTATTTAAACATGTCAGCTCTTTCAAGGTAAACACTGACAACCATTGTGCCAAAAAGAAGACCAAGAATGGGAAGATCAATTGCTTCATAAGCTTGATCTGGACTAAGAACTTGGAATATGACCATAAGCATGGCACCCAACAAGGACCCTGCAGTTCTCCCAATGGGAAGGAAAGGCACAGCAGGGAAAACTGCTAACATCCAAAAGATTGCAAATGCAACAGAACCAAGGACAAGTTTTGGAACAGATGCTAATGCCATTCTTGTTATAATTAAAGAAGCAACGATCAATTCCTACTTGCAATCAAAAACTTAAAAATGTCACCTTTAGGCCCTTATCAATGTCTTAATAGAACGGAGACTTGTAGAATGAAATTTCCTGAAACATGAAAAGCCATTTGATGGGTTAATAAGAATGCATGAGAATCAGAAAATTCAAGTGAGATTCCCTCCATGAAAATCCAATCTATTACTCTGACTGTTATAAATTATGTGAGTCACTAATATCTGTGAAGATAAATGATCATTAATGAACTAGGTGAACTGAAGCAACACACAAAACCCAGCAGCAGAAATCATATATATATATATATATATATATATATATATAGAGAGAGAGAGAGAGAGAGAGAGAGAGAGAGAGAGAGAACCTTCAGGTTAACCAACATGAACATTGTAAACAAGTGCCATGCAATCTTATCTCAGTGGTAAGTGGTAAACGTTCATAACCATAGTTTCATTAGGATTTTAATCAAATCATGACAAGTGCATCGTGCAAAGCATTACCAAAGATAGAAAACAACGACACTAAACATTTTCAATCTCACTGACCTTAAAAAGCGACAATCTATCACGCACTGAGGTTCAACGTACGAAAGCTTTCACCAATTTGCTACCCCTGACTAGGAATTCATGCTATATGCATGAAAAGTTAAGAACTTTACAATCTAAAGTATCTTTTTTTCCTGAATTGAAATTGAGAATTATGAAAATATATAATTCAGTTCAGAAAGTGGTATATGGGAATGGCGGCACCATCAGTGTTCTCAGGACACCTCAGAGCCACATGGAAGAACGTGACCCTCTCTGCCCTTTATTTATATACACAAACATTTATGTAACCATGGAGAATAAAAGACTTAACAACTTCATTGACTCGAAAGTTTTGAGGAACTGTAAAACCTTCATCATTTTTTTCCTCTTGTGGGCCATTAAAAAAAATTGATACCCTAAAATTAATAAATAAATATTAGACATAATACCAACTTTATAATTGAAAATACATACTTGACATGAACTTGTATTGGTATAACGTCACACCATATTTACTACTTATTCAATACTTGTTAAGATCAAAATTATTGCCTGATAAGAATGAATTTATATTGACACGTTAATATAGATAATTTGTTCATTGGATATAATTAATATAGATTAGGTATTTAGTTAACGTTTTTATTCCATTATTAATTTGATTTATTTCATATTATTAACAAGATTCAAATCATGACCTATATTTAGTTAACAAAGCATTATCATGTCAATCAATTAGTGTATTTAATTAATATTAATATCATATATAAGTCAAATATTAAGATCATTATTATTAATCTTACAATATTTAACATTTAGTTGTAAGTTTTAAAATTTTTAAAATCTACCACCACTCCATATCTTTTAAATCGTATTTTATTTTAGGATGATTTCAGTTTTAAAATTATTTTTTTCTCTTTAAATTAATTTAAATTTAAAAAATTATTTATCACATATTAAAATTAGTTTAAATGTATATTTTTCACCAACAAAAACAATAATAATAATAATAATAATAGCTATTATTATAATTGTGATGATAATAAAACAATGATAACAATAATAATACGGTAAAAATATCCTATTAGAAGGAAATTCATAGAATTCAACAATGATAATAACTGTAGTAACAAAGGTCACGATGACTTTGATAATAATATTGATAAAAAAAGGTTATAATTAAAAATTAAAATCATAATTTTTTTTAATGAATAAAAAGAAATCGAGTTACAAATTATTTCAGATTCTTTCTTACCAGGTAAATTTTGTTTTAGAGATAAAAAAGAATTAAGTGTAAACTCTAAAAGAAGAAGAAACAGAGTTAATCAACCAAGACATGAGGAGTGTATTGTACCACTCCCAATGAGGAAACAGAGAATCAGTGTTAGCTCGCATGGAAATAGCGCCAATGAGAAAACCCATTTTGTTTTTGGATATTAAAGCTCTTGATACCATAAAAGGAAAAAAGGAATATGAGGAAATGATTGTAATGAATTTTCATTATTGCATCAGGGCAATGATTATAACTTATATAGGAAAAAGAATAACAGAAAAAAGAGAATAAAGCATATTCCTATACTATTTACAAAAACATATTCATGTACTATTTACAGCTCATATATTCTAGAATGTACATCTGGGTAAGAAACAGAAAAGAGAATTAACTACTGTATTATGCTCTAATTAATTACGGTCTTCTTCTTTTAAACTCAAAGATAATAATAATAATAATATGTATAAACTGTTGGAATATAAGTGTAAACGTGACTTATGATCTGTGATCTCTACGAATTTGTAAGAAATTTTGGTTTGTGGTTGAGAATCCTGAAAATATTCAACATGAAGTGTATGATAAAACGATGAAGAGTGAGTTACGTGAATCCATCATTATTCTATGTAGCTTTCAAAAGGATACATATTAGAAACAGTATCAGAAGTGCAACTTTGCTGGAGCATATATAAAAGTGTTGGAAAGAATTACAAGTTATATTAAAAGTAGTGGTGGCTTGTGTAATTCAAATTATGAATGAGTCATAGTTAATAATTTTCATTCAATCAATGAGGGAACTCGATTCTTGGTAAACTCTACATTTTCTGCAGAGTTTTGTTCCCGGTTAAAAGCTGTTTAATATTTTATTTTATTTTATCCATATTAATGGCACATGCAATTTTTGTTGGGCACTAAGAAAGGATTCAGATACAAGAATCGATGCAAATCAAATTCAAATCATGTATTCTGAATAAGAATATTAACATATACTGGAATATTTGCCTTGTATAGAGAAGAATAAATTATATAATATCAGTTCTTGTCTCACAAAAGTAGCAAACAGGGTATATTATTCTGGTCTCTTGGTTGGAGTAGGTCATTTCACATTCTTGAAGGAATAACAATTTGTATATATTGCTCTTAATTACGATTTAAATTTTACTTTTTCATCATCAAAATCTCAATCATTCTGTTTGATTAAAATAAAGATTAAAACAACACTCACTCATATTCAAGTTATATATCTGGGTGAATTTGTTTGAAGTTATTATCAAAATGTGTTAGTCTAAGTGGCATTTGACTCAACTTTTTTTAGTTCAAAGTTTTACTCTAGTAAAAGAGTCGTGATTCTGACCATGAATTTGTGATCTATTCATAGTTGTTAGGTATGATTTTTCACCTAAGTGTGCGTTGAAAAATAGGTGTTTTGATATTTTTTTTTTCTCATGTTTATACTTTTCGTGGCTATATTTTTTACGTTGAGATAAGTATATTTATGATTATCATGTTGAATGTCATGGATCTTTAGACTTAGATTAGGAGTAGATATAGATTAGATATTGGGTTTAAATTAGATATCCATGTATTACTAGACAAAAATAAAGGTCGAATAATGATCGATTAAGAAAAAAAAGACCACTCTACAAATTTCAAATTCAATTTTCGTGTAAGAAAAAGTCTACTTAGAAAATATAATTGAATTTTGTTTTTATTATAATTAATCAAATTCTTCGAAGATTAATAATGAGCGAACACTATAACATAATTTCTTTTTTAAAATAAAGTTTTATATATTTATGTTTTATTCTCAAGAAATGTTGTGGGTAACATTATTTTAAACAAAGTTCTTAATTATATAGTAAAAAAATATATTTTTTTAAAATACTTGAAAAATGTCATTCTCGTCATATATTTGTAGAAATGTTACTCTTAGAAGTGAAAATGGATAACTTAAAATAAAGAAAGTTTTGTTCAAAGAGTTTTTACACTTCCTAGTCTTTTTCTTCAAAAGAATTTGACTTTTGACTTTTCGTTCAGAAACATAATTGCTGTAAACAAAAAGAAAGTTGGAAAAAAAAATGAGAAGAAACTTTCAAAAATTAAACGAGTAATTAATTAATTGTATATAAATGCTTCTTGGTTTAGAAGTACAAGAAATCACAACAGTTTCGCCATTAACATTCCAGACAATAGTTTTGACTATATTTAAAAAAAATTAGTTGTAACGTACAAGAATTATTAACTTTAAACATGTATTATTAAAAAAAGTTTATTTATTTAAATTACTTATTATTAAATTTTGTAAAATTATATTAGATTTTTGCACTATAAAGTATTTACCTTTATGTTTCTCAGTTAAATTCTTGAACCTTCTGTTTTTTCCTTTTTTAAATTTTTTTTATGCATTAAAATGATTCTATGAAAGGAAAGAAAAAAAATATTCACGTAAATCACTTTCAAGAGAAAACGTAGGTGTAAAGTGGAGAAGTTTCAACACAAACCAAATTCAAATTTGATTTCTTGTTCTCTAAGTTTTTCCAACCATTTGACAAAGTTTTGTTGACAAAATTTGAATCTCTATTTTCAACATCAAACTATCTTAATCACAATCGATACGAAAAGAGTTGCATGTAATGATTTTGTGACACTAGTTGGTTAAATCCCGAGAATGGATTTTGAAGGATTCGTGTCAATTCACAAGCCAAAGAAAAAGCGTACAATCAATCTTACATGAAGAATCATTAAAAATGTGACGTGATATTTGACCTTCACTACATTAAAATAGTAAAATTATTAGAATATATAAAAGATTAATTCTTGGATTTAATTAAAAGAGATAAAAAAAATTAAGATAATCTTGGAGAATGTAATATTATTTTTAATTCTCAAAGTTTATTTAAAAAAAAAATACGAATTCATACCCATTTTTCAAAATTTGTTAAAAAGGACTATACGTGAATTTGTTAAAAAGGACTATACGTGAATTTGTTAAAAAGAATGTGTGTCGTACTCGTGTTAAAAAAGAGAGAGAGGAATGCATATGGTCATATTCATGTCTCAATTAAAAAAAATTTGTTAAAAAAAATAAAAAAGGAGAGAACATGACAGCGAATGTGATGTATCTCAAATTTTATTACAAAATTTTGTTAAAAAGGTGTTGGAATTTTTATTATAAATTAAAAAATAATCATTGTTGAAATATAAGTTTGTTAGTTTGTTTATGTTTAATAGTTTGTTAGGTTTGTTATTCTTAAAATTTTTTTCTCATGTAGTTTTCGTTGCAGTTGTAAGACTTATTTAAAGTCATCAGAATTCACATTTGATAATGGAAGAATACCTCAATTTATCCTATAAAAAAAGAGTTCTATACATTTATATTTGGTATTAGAGGTCCACCACGGGGCCTGATAGAAAGTAAGTAAACTACACGTGTTTGAGAGGAAAAACACTAGAGTGAGTGAAGGAAGCAAAATGGCAGAATCAAACAATTTCACCACATCACGTGTGCCTAAATTTGATGGAGACTATGATCATTGGAGTCTACTCATGGAGAATCTACTTCAATCAAAGGAGTACTGGAGTGTCATGAATCTGGAATCCAAGAATAAAAGGAGAATGAGTCGTTCAATACAATGCAACAAAAGACATTAGATGAAGAAAAGCTCAAAGACCTGAAAGCAAAGAACTATCTATTTCAGTTCATTAACAAATTCATCCTCAAGACTATTCCACATAAATAAACAGCTAAACAAATGTGGGAATCCATGAAGGTCAAGTATCAAGGGAGTGCTAGGGTGAAACGCGCACAATTGCAGAGGTTTCGACAGACATTTGAAACCTTAGAGATGAGGCCAGGAGAATCAGTGAATAATTATTTTGGAAGAGTCATGGAAACAGCAAATGACATGAGGAATTGCGGGGAGGATATGAACGATGTGAAAATTGTTGAAAAGATACTTAGGTCTCTGACAGACAACTTCAACTTTGTTATATGCTCAATTGAAGAGTCCAAGGACATTAATCTCTTAATCATGGATGAGTTGCAGAGTTCACTATTTGTTCATGAACAAAAAGTAAGAGAGAAAAAGAGTGAAGAACAAGTTTTGCAAGTTGAGCATGACACACGTTCTGGATGTGGAAGAGGAAGAAACAACGCTCAGAAAGGAAGTAGCAGTTATGTGAGGGGGGCGAGGAAGAGCCAAGACATTTGTAAACAGAAATGTGATTATATGTTATCGGTGTCAAAAGCAAGGACACTACCAGTTTGAATGTTCAAATCTAGAAAAGGCAAACTATGCTGAGTTTGATGAAGAAGAGGAACTGCTCCTAATGGCACATACTGAAGTTCAGGGTACTAAGGACACAGGGATATGGTTCCTTGACTCTGGTTGTTCAAATCACATGACAGGAAATAAAAGGTGGTTTGTTGAACTAGACGAAAGTTTCAGACATACTATTAGATTGGGAAACAACTCATTAATGTCTGTACTAGGAAAAGGAAGTGTCAGGTTTAAAGTGGAGGGACTAACTCAAACTGTGAGTGATGTTTACTTTGTTTCATACCTAACCAACAATTTTTTGAGCTTAGGTTAACTCCAAGAAAAATGCCTGGTCATCATAATAAAAAAAGATACTTGCAAAATTTATCCTTAGAGAGGGAAAATTGTCGAGAGCAAGAAGACCATGAACCATATGTTTGTGATTCATGCTACATTGAAATCACTTCCAAGAAGATGCTTAAAGGCTGAGGAGGAGAACTTAGAGGACTTATGGCATAGAACGTATGGACATGTAAATCATAAGTTCCTTGCTGCCATGCAGAAGAAACATATGATGAAGGGGCTCTACCAAAATTGAAGGAAATCGCTGAGGTTTGCAAGGTGTGTAATATTGGCAAGCAACATCGAAACAAAATATCAAAGAAAAGTCACTGGAGAGCATCGAAAAAACTTGAATTAGTGCATGTTGACCTGTGTGGTCCGATCTCTCCAATCTCGAATAGTGGTAAGAGATATTTGCTAGTGTTTATAGATGACTACTCTCGCAAAACTTGGATTTATTTCCTTGTAGAAAAAGGTGAAACAATTGAAATATTCAAATGCTTCAAGAATCTGGTTGAAAAAGAAGCTCAGAAAGTAATATGTTGTTTACGAACAGATAGAGGAGGAGAATTCACCTCAAATAAGTTCAATCAGTTTTGCATAGAGCATGGCATTAAAAGGCAATTAACAGCTGCTTTCACACCACAACAAAATGGAGTAGCCGAATGAAGAAATCGAACCATTATGAATATGGCGCACTGCTTACTCACTGAGAAAGAGATGCCAAAGACCTTGTGGGCAGAAGTTGCGAAGTGGACTGACCATGTGATCAACAGAAGCCTTACCAAAGCAGTAAAGGAGATGGTACCAGAAGAAAGATGAAGCGGACTGAAACCCAGAGTTGACTATTTCAGGGTGTTTGGATCCATTGCCCACGTCCATATACTTGAGCAGAAGAGAACTAAACTGAACGATAGAAGTTGCAAATGTATCTTACTTGGAGTGAGTGACAAATCCAAGGCTTACCGTTTGTATGATCCAGTGTTAGAGAAAATCACAATCAACAGGAATGTCATATTTGAAGAAGGAGAAAAATGGAATTGGAACCTGAACTCAGAAGAAACAAAACAAAATACTCTTGATTGGGGTGATAATGGTACTAACATGGAGGACTCTGATGAAGAACCAGATGTTGAAATAGACGTGAATAATGCTAGCAATCTTGAGCATACTCTAGAACCTAAGGAACAACCAAAAAGCGAAAGAAAAACACCAAGTTGGTTGCAGGATTACGAAACTGGTGAGGGCCTCTCTGAAGAAGAACAAGAGGCAGGTATGGTTTTATTTATGTCAAATAATGATCCCTCAAATTATAATGAAGTTGTGAATGATGAAAAATGGATAGAAGCAATGAAACTTGAGATAGCTGTCATCGAGAAAAATAAGACATGAGAATTAGTGACTTTGCCAACACATGCCAAAAAAATTGGAGTGAAATGGATTTACAAAATCAAATTGAATGAAGAGGGCAAGGTTGACAAATACAAGGCCCGATTTGTTGCAAAAGTCTACACACAAACTAAAAGGGTAGACTACAATGAAGTGTATGCTCCGGTAGCTCGATGGGACACAATTTGGATTCTATTGGTTAGCACAAGATGGAATGTGTACCAACTGGATGTAAAAAGTGTTTTCTTATATGGGGAGTTGAAGGAAGAAGTATATGTAGAGCAACCTGAGGGCTTCATCAAAAGGGAAGAAAAAGACAAGGTATATAAGCTGTACAAGAGAAGGTGGAGAAAATGTCGACACAACCTTGTACAAGCAATTGGTAGGCTATCTAATGTACCTAACAGCTACACGCTCAGATATAATGTATGTTGTGTGATTAATTTCACGTTACATGGCTAATCCAAAGAAGGAACACATGCAAATTGCTAAAGAGCCTTGAAGTATTTAAATGGTACACTAGATTTTGGCTTGTTTTATAGAAGAAGTAAAGTTTCAAATCTTTTTGCATATACTGATAGTGATTATGCAAGAGATGTAGATGATAACAAAAGTACTTCTGGATATGTCATTTTGCTTAGTGATGTAGCGGTTTGTTAGAGTTCAAAGAAATAGGTCATAGTCACATTATCCTCAACAAAGACTGAATATATGGTAGCAACCTTGTGTGCTTGCCACTGTGTTTGGGTGGAGGGAGTTCTGGAATAGATTGGAGTTCAAAATTGTAAGTGTATTAATATTTTTTGTGACAACAGTTCATTAATTAAGCTCTCTAAAAGTCATGTGATGTATCGGAGAACTAAACACATTGATGTTAGATATCATTATCTGTGTGATGAGTAGTGAAGTTAGCTTTTTGTGGAACATAAGAACAAATTTCAGACATTATGACAAAGCCAATGAAATTGGATCAATTTATAAAACTTAGGCGGTTCCTGGAAATATAACCACTTAAATATTAAACTGTATATTTATTGAGCAATTCAGTTTAAGGGGAGAAATTTATTGGAATCTTTATTAAAAATTAGAAAATAGTCAAGGTTGAAATATAGAGTTTTTAGTTTATTTATGTTTAATAGTTTGTTAAATTTATTATTCATAATTTTTCTCTCATGTTGTTTTCATTGTAATTATAAGACTTATTTAAAGTCATCTTAATTCATAATTAATAATGGGAGAGTACTTCAATTTATCTTATAAAAAAAAAGTTCCTGTACATTTACTTATTAAAAAAGATAAAGTACGTGATCGTATCTCAAGTTTTATTAAAAAAATTTGTTAAAAAATATAGAGGAAACGATAACCCATGTAAACATATCGGTACCTCAAAATTTGTTAATAATCTATTTTGCATATGGCCATGACGAAAATAGTCTCGCCTCCAACCAAATGACCAGTATCCTTAACACATCAACAATCAAACCAAAGCACCCACTGTCCATAACAGATACACTCCAATAATAATAATAATAACAATAATAAAAGACCAAACATTCAAAGGCAAAGTACAAATAGAATCCGAATCTTAGATACAATCAACCACGCATGCAAATGAAAACATAAAAAAAAAAAAGGAGAAGAAAAGAGGAGGCATTTAGAGAGGGGCTCGCGGCGGCACGCGGTCACCCACCATCCCCTGCGCATAGGACCTCAAGGGTCGCATCACGAAGGAGACTGGAGGCTGGCGAGCGGAGCCGCCGTGGCTCCCAGCTAGGATGGGGTTCGCGGGCTGAGAGGGAGGGGGGGGGGTACGATGATCCACTGGTGGGGCTCGCGGGCTAGGGTTGCCAGGAGCGAGGGTCTGAAGTTGGGTAGAGGAATGGGGAAATGGTGGGTGGCTGGCACCGGTGAGGATGTAGGTGAAGGAAGCGGGGAAGAGAACGCTTTGGTGCAGGAATTTGGAAATGCGTCAAGGGAGTGTGGGTGAATGTCGCGATTCTAAGAGGTAGAGGATGGAGAGAGATGAAGGCTAAAGTGGGGAATGCTGCTGGGTGAGGAGGAAAAAAATGAAGGTCCGGGAGAGGGTGAGCGCGAGTGATGCGAGGTAGCTGGAAAATGGGAAGTGAAGGTGCAAGGAGAGAGTGGGGGTGAGCGAGGGTGACAGGCCGTACGAAGGAGATGGATAAAAAGGGAAAAAAATTACTCCGAGGAAGATTCAACAATAAATTGAGAGTGTGATTAAAAAAAATACCTTCTGTGTGACCTTTGTCTCCGTCAACTTAGCGCGGCTCCCAAAAGAAATCCTCTCCTGATCCTAGTTATTATCCTCCGTTTTAAAAGGCAACAATCAGGTTAATGATACCAAACCTAGGTCAACAATTAAGTTAAAGATACCAAACCTAGGGTAAAAAGAGATTTGGGGCCAAAATTATGGCCGTTCCCTCTTTTTTTGGTTTGTATATAATTTTTTTTGTCTAAAGTATGAAATCCTAAAACTAAAATGTCTGTGTCTATTTTAATTTTCTTCATTCTTTTTTTCTTTTGTCTTTTTATTTAAATACTTAAAAAAATCATCTTTTTGTTTTTATTTTTATTCTCTTTCTTTTTTTTAAATATTTTTAAAATAAATATTATTATTTATTAACATTATTTTATTTTTATCTTTTCAGACGAAATTGGATGTGGATAAATATTCTATTAAAATAAATTATAAATTCTTCCTCCAAACACAGAATTTATAAATCTGTGAATCTATTTAACTTTCTTTCTTTATATATATATATATATATATATATATATATATAATATGAATTTTAAGAAAAATAATTATGAAATTTAATATCAACTTACAGATACCATTTTTGTTAGCAAAACAAAATTTGGTTAATTTGATACTAAATTATCAGTACAGATTAAATATTTTCTTTTTAATAAATTAGGTTATGAATACATTAGGCGTTGTTATTTTTATATTTCATTATAAAAGTATTCACTTTTTATATTAGATATTTATATTTTTTTATTTTTATCATTTATTTATTTTTTCATAATGATCCAAAACAGTAAGTATTTCTATTATTAAACTATTAAAAACAAATAAAAAAACTATAATTCTTATTCTCAAAATAAGTAAATATTTTTTATTTTATTATTAATATATATATATATATATATATATATATATTATAATATTTTAAAATAAAGTATATGTTTTACTTTTTGAAGATTAAATTCACATATATAATCTCACATGTTTAAAAATCTCAAAAATTGTTTCTTTATCTTTTAATTGCATCGGTTGGTTGATACTAGAACATCTAGAATAAATAGCATTGTTAGGTTGACTCTAATGTTTAGTAAGTCATTATATAATAGTTTATATTTTAATCATAACTATAATGTTTAATAAGTTTCATTTTAAATAGTGACGGGTTGGCATTTAGTATCCCATTTAATTTATTTAATTATTGCATATAGAAGTTAATATTTTAAAAAAAGATCATAACAACATAATTTAAAATATTATGTTATATTTGAGTTAAATTTGTCAATAAATTATAAAATATTATTAGACATACTTCTCTAGACAAACTTCAACAAAAGTAAAATATGGGAAAAAAACTCTATAAATTAAAATTTGCAGTTAAAATTATAAAAATTTGAATAAATTACACGACAATTTTTTTATATAGATTACTTTTATTCATAAACTATTTTTAACTTGTGAAAATATTATTTTTTAAAATGTATTTATGAAAATAATTCGTCTGAACATATCTTATAAATTTTGTAAGATTAACATGTTATTTATTGAGTCTCTTTCCTGATTTTACAGTTTTTAATAAATATTAACTAATAAAATATGTTAAAATAAGTGTTGAGAATGTATTATTATTACTAGTACTTCTTAATTTAGAAGTATAATTATGAGCAAGTGAGTTGAGCACGACGAGTTGAGTTTGATAGTTGAACTCACCTACTTCCCACCACCATATCTTATTTGTCAACTCTATAATAAATGCAAGTTCACCTCTAAATCCACACTATTAAAAAATTATTAAGTGTTTATGTTTAAAATTCTTCCTATATAATTTTTAAAAAATTGTAGTATTCTTAAAAAATTAAAATATTTGATTGTTATTAGTTTATTTAATTAATAAATTTCTATAATATTAATAGAAAAACTATATTCAAATCTAATTGGAAGTAAGTTATTTGTAAATTTTATTTTGTTTTTAGTTAATTTTTTTAGTTTAAACTAATTTTAGTTTATGAAATATCATTAATTTTCTATTTTATTTAGTTAATGTTTGCTAAAATATTCAGCAAGAAGAACATACTATCTCCAAAAAAAATTGCAATTTATCCACATCAATTTTAAATTAATCGATTTAGTTTATGTAAATATATATATATTAAAAAAATGAAACCAATTTATCTATTAAAATAGTTTTTCAATAACTGATGTTAAATTTTTGTATGAAAAGGAATTTTGCTATTAATGACACTACTACAAAATATACTTTCTACGTCGGTTATAAGCTGAGACGACGTAGAAAGTACTTTTCACGTCGGTTTCCGGATGAACCGACGTTGAAAGTTTAATAGTAAACACATTCTACGTCGGTTCTTAGTCAACCGACGTAGAAAGTACTTTCACGTCGGTTTCCATATAAACCGACGTTGAAAGTCTTTTTTTTAATTTTTTTTTCACCCAAAAACTCACTTAAATTTGAAAATTGTCATTGGCAAGATTCAAACCCAAGTACTTTAGAGTTGGAGGTCGATACTCCAACCACTAAGCTACTAGAATTTTCTAATAATAAATTACAAATAAATTATATTTATATACAAATAAATATATATCCATGTAAATATATATTTATTTGTATATATTTTCTGGAAAGTATTTTTATTTTTATTTTCAGCCAAAAATTCTCTTAAGTTAATGAATTGTCACTGATAGCATTTGAACCCGAGTATTTTAGGGTTGAAAGTTAATATCCCAACCACTAAACTACTATAATTTTTTGATAATAACTTACAAATAAATTATATTGGTATTTTTCGATCGAGGGTAAAAGTGTGATTGACTCTTGCTTGAGTGAAAATATGTTAAAGCTCACGGAAATTCACTTACTCAAGTCTCGCTTGAGCGAAAATTGGTATTTTTCGCTTGAGAGAAAATAACGCGTTTCCCAAATTTATTTTATATTATTATATAAATAAAATTATAAAGATTATATTCCGTCATTAAATTACAAACTCATATAAAGATACCTATTCACAAATTTAGCATCAAAATTTGAAAACCCATTCGACACACACTTTCACTTTCGAGTGTGCCCTCACATCCAACATATAAATATATAACTATATAAATATATCAAAATATATAAATATATTTGTATTTATATATTTATATATTTACACGGATATATATTTATTTGTATATAAATATAATTTATTTGTAAGTTATTATCGGAAAATTCTAGTAGTTTAGTGGTTGAGCTTATCAGCCTCCAACTCTAAAATGCTCGGGTTCGAATCCTGCCAATGAGAATTCTCTTAAAAAATTAATAAACTTCTAAAAAATATAATATAAAGAGATGGAGGACCTAATAAAAATATAATATAAAGAGAGAGAGACTTCTAGATCAATGAAAAATAATCTTGCTTAACATTTTGAATTCAATTAGTTAACTTGTATGCTTTGAGTTTTTCAGTTCTCAACTTACAACTTATAAAGTTCATAAGTTAATTTTATGAAACACTTTAATAAATCAAAAAAATATTTTATAAAAATATTACTGAAAAAATACAAAATTAATCTGATATTTTTCTTTTCAAATAATTATAAACATTCAATTATCTCATTCATGTGTGAAAACTCTATGGTTTAGCGGCACCGACAATTAAATGTATTGATACTGATAACTTGAAAAAAAATTCATGTGATAGAAAATAAAATATATGAATATTCGTATATAAAAATAATTTTATTAATTTAGTAAGATGATGTTACTAATGCATTTTTCAATAATCATTTATCGAGTGATTTATTAACAATTAATAAAAGTGCAGTTTTATAACGTGTTCCTGTGTACTAATAGTACACAAGTATTAAATACAAAATAAAAAGCATTAAACAAATTATAAATATTTTGTTTTTTCTAGTAAAAATTTAAACACCAGTATTTTTCTATCTTCTCACCATGTGGGCATCAATAATACACATTAGAAAAACCCCAAATTTGTGTACATTAATTATGTAATATCCCTGAAAACTGAAACTTGAAATTTGAATGGTTATTAATGGAATTTTAATCATAAAGAAAACAGAAAGGAAAATTGTTTCAAAGAACATTAAATTAGGTTGCACGATGGTACTGCATGTGTATGAAAATGTCTAATGCATGACCATAAACATGTTCACATTTTGGTAAGAAAAAAATACATAAAAGGTGATGTTAAAGTAAACTTTGATCGTATAAATTTCAACTGCGTACACTTTGAGCTTCCTACACTATTCAATTCAATGAAATGGATCCCTAGTCAATTCAATTATGAGAAGTCTTTTTCTAATTGGATGGAATTTTAATTATTGGTTTCTTATTTATTTCTTTCTTTGTTTGGTAAACTACTATTTGAATCAATCAACATTGTAAAAAAATAATGGAAAGAAAAAATAAGGAGGCTTATCTAAAAATTCATTTATCACGATCAGGATTGGATAATGTGCTGAAAGATAAATATAATATCATCTTAAGTGAGAAATTGTTAGTAGGATTTAAGTTGCTATAAGAAAAGAATGAAAATGACATATACTACTGGAAATTGGGAGAACAATGTAAAGTTTTATTAAATAAATAAATATAATGTAATTTTCATTTAAATATTTAAACTTTTCAATATAAAAAATAAAAATGTAATAAACTTTTGTTGTTACATACATGTACTTATTATTATATAAATTTTATCTTAATTTAATTGTTCTAAAATATAATTTATTAAAATAATATATTAATTTATATTATTAACTTGAAATATATATATATATATATATATATATTTTTTTTTTTGAATTGTTGACAATGATAATTTTATTATTAAATTTATTAAAAGATTTGATTTAAAAATAATAAAATAAAATAAGAAATATAACGGGTCAACCCGCCCTTTGGTAGGGTGGGCCGAGACCTGTGACCCGCTATTACTATAGCGGGTTAGCTAGTCCCGTCTCGTCCAGTTTTCGCTTTTGGCAGGATGGGTCAAAATAGGGCGAACTGACTTGTTTTATCATCTCTATTATTATAACACTTGTTCTCACTAGAAATAACTACCACACATGGTCCAAATCCTTTCATATGACTTTTATTTTAAAAAATAAGATGAGTTTCCTTTAGGCATAGTTCCCAAATCAAATTTCGTTGATACTTTGTTTACTACATGAGAACGCTACAGCAATGTTAATGTCATGACTATTGAACTCTACATTTTAGTTAATTACACAAAGTGTTATTTTCTTTTATTTTATTATATTGATATATGTAAAATAACATTTATCTCATGGTGACTTCCTTTGCAATGTTGAGTTACAAGATGAGATTTGTGGCCTAAAATAAGGTACACAATCAATCATGGATTATTTCACTAAGCTCAAAACATTTTGAGAGAAACTTGATAACTAGATACCCATGTTATAGTGTGGCTATTTGGTTAGGAGCTATTATCAACAAGATTTCATCATTAGGTTTCTTAGAGGTCTTGATCGAAATTTTTCAATTCTTCGATCTCTAGTGTTTCTTATGGATCGACTACCAAGTGTCAATTGAGTTTTCTCTATTTGATTCAACATG